ACGGCCGGCTCATCATATCGGGCTCCGGCGACAAGACGGTCCGGGTATGGGATGCAGCGACGGGCGCCGAGCGGCGTGTGCTACGAGGCCATTCGCGCTGGGTCAGCGCGGTCGCCTTCTCGCCGGACGGCCGGCTCATCGTATCGGGCTCCGGCGACGACAAGGTCCGGGTATGGGATGCGGCAACGGGCGCCGAGCGGCATGTGCGACGAGACCAAAACCAAAACCCCATCCTACGGTTTCTCTCCTTATCCTCTTGTGGTACACATGTCGTTACTGACCGTGGAATCCTACGATTGCCTTCCTCCGACTGCCGATGTTTGCATCACATATTTGCCACAAGGTCTTGGATTACGCACGATGGCGAAGAGCTACTCTACCTCCATCCGGACTATCAGGACTCACTGAAGATTGTTTCAGGCAGCGTCATCATTTCTACGGGCCGACTTTCACATGCCCTGCAGTTAGATTTATCAAAGAGAGAGAGACATGCTGAAGAACGTATAGGGGAGCATCTTCCGAGCCCACCACAGGTGTGGACAGATGTCGGCTAGATGGTGGGGTACGGGCTATTTCGGCGTACAATCTACTCGGGCTTGCCTACGCTGTGGCCGTAATGATCGACTTGCGTTGAAGGACGTCAATCTAGTCTCGCGCTTGTCTTAGTTCCTCGGACAGCTAGGTTCTAGTGTCTTCTAGCTGGCGATGTAGCTCTTGAATCGCATCGTGCTGCTTGCTAATCACATCGCGTAGTTCGCAGATCGTGTTTCGTTGCTCGGCAATCATTTCGTGCATTTCATCCCGTTGTCCGTTGATCGCCTCCAAAAGCATTAGTAGTCCTGACTTCCCCGTTTCGATCCGGCCGTTGACTCCATACCCGGTTCCCACCGCTCGTGTTCCTCTCGACGCGACGGTCCGCGTACCTTCGCTCGTAGTCGTCTTTGCTACGGTGGCTGTGTCTACGATCGATTGCATCGCTTCGCGAACTTTCGCGCTCGGTTTCAGGGTGCGGCTCGGTCGCTTCGGCGAGGGTGGCTGGTCGGCCACCTCGACCACGATCTGGCCCTGAGCCGATGCTGCCATCTCGCAGTCCCTCGGCAGCGCCACTTGATCTTTCCGAATGCCAAAATCTCGGCTCTATTGCGGTCCCCGAATTACGAGCAGGAGTTGCGCGAACTCCGATAATACAGAAATGTCACGGGGTTTGTCCCGTGACATATGTGTTGATAAGATAAGAGCCTGGCCAGCCCTGGTGTGGGTCTGGCCCTGCGTGGTCTGTGCGCGTGCAGGGTTTTCCCCATGCACGCGCACCCCGTGATAACTACCCGTTTTGCCGTATCTACAAAGTCTTGATTCCCTGGTCGACTCTCCAAATATCTTCCTAAGCCGGACGCACTCTCTAACCATACTTTACCACCGCGCACCACAACTCTTCTCGCGCCATCTGTAACGGGCTGTGCCCGAGGTGGGCCTCGGTAACCCTCAGCCAACCCTGACCTCTGGATGAAGCTATTCCCAGACGCCCCACAGCACACCGAACATTCTAGCAATGCGCTCGAGCTACTTCACTTAACGATAAAGCAGCCTCTAAACTGCTAGAACGTCTCGTCTCTCTTTGTGTGTGTGGTGGTGTAGGATGTGAGTAGACACCTTTGAGATGGATGTGATGGTGATGATGGCTGACCTTGGTGTGTGTGGTGGTGTAGTGGGTAAGTGGACACCTTTGAGATGGATGTAGTAGTGATGATGGCTGACCATGGTGTGTGTTGTGGTCTAGGAGGTAAGTGGACGCCTTTTGATATAGTTTCAGATGTCCTGCTAACCTGACTCTTTGTAGAGATCGTGGGAGCGCGATGGTGACGACGAATTCGCCACTGGGTTTCGGAGCGACCTGTTACAAAATCACTCCTATGACACTGTCTCATCCGATTTAACTGCCAGCGCTTCACACTCCCTCTTGCTGGGCAAGTGGCTTCGAAATTGTGACGAGAAGCACGAGGAATGCCATCGGCCGTCGGGAAAGGAGAACTTTTGGCCAAAGAGAGTTATTTATGTTGGCGACCCCAACAAATTGACCCTCGTCGAAGAGCAACCTCAGGGAGAAGACTACCTTGTGCTTTCGTACTGCTGGGGCCCCCTCACAGACCAAGACAAGAAGCGTTTCTGCACTACTAGCGAGAATTACGGATCTCGAAAGCTGGGCTTCAGCTACGACGAGCTGCCGAAAACATTTCAAGACGCAATTCAGGTGACTCGAGCACTTCAGAAGCAGTACCTCTGGATCGATGCTCTCTGTATCATACAGGGACCCGACGGCGACTGGGAGAGCGAGGCTAGGACCATGGCAGATATTTTCGCCTGCGCCTACTGCACCATTGCGGCGAGTTCAGCACGTGGCTGGGGAGATGGTTTCCTGAAGCCTCAGTCGAATTTCCGGCGAGGCGCTCCAAGCACACCGACTTGCACATGTGACTTCGAGGAAGACGTGGATGAGGCGCCCCTTATGAAGAGGGCTTGGGTACTACAAGAACGGGTGCTATCCCGTCGAATCATCCATTTCACTGCGACACACAAGTATTGCGAGTGTGGGCATGGAGTGCTGTGTGAACAGCTTACAAAACTGAACCCGTAAGTCCGCAGGGTTGAACATCGTCACATGTGGCACGAAGGCTCACCTTGCTCCAGGCCATGGGGGAAGCAATATTTCATCCTCGATCCGAACTTTCCGGAGAGACTCAGCAAGTCCGGGTATGAGCATACCGCCGATTTCGTCCAATTCCTCTTCAGAAAATATTCAGTTTCCTGCCTTACCTTCGAAACCTTCAGGCAGCTTCCTCTTTTTTACCTGGTGGTAGCCAGGCTTCTGGATATGTAGCCCAAATCTCCGCAGCTGGAACAGCGGGGTCACCAAATTTCCTCTACGATTAAGGTTTCTTTAAAACTGCAACCATCCTTTTCTCGCTCTTGGAGGCCGAACTTACGTAACTAATTAATGCTAATTAATTAACTATAGCAAATTTTGAGTTTGAGGCTACCCTCAGGGCACGTCACCCTTATCCCCCCATGATGCGGCCTTTGAGGCCCGATTCTTGTACTGTGTGCTGCCTAGGCCCGAGGCCGGGATTACGGTCATTTCTGTAATTTATATATAACCTAGGTGCCCGCTAGGTAACTCAGATATGGCGTACTAGAGCATTTAAATTTGAACCCAATCTTGAAAGAAATATAAATGGCGAACTTTCCTCAGTCATACCAAGATATACTAGAGGAATCTCGTGAGGTCCCCGTATGGTTTAACATCGCCGCGGCGTTTTCATCCTGGATCCTACTAGCTGGATTCGTTCTACTGCCCGGGACTTTCGCCTCCTTGGATACGCTTGAGCCCAACGATGAACTCGGGAGAAGACTTCAGAGTTTAGGCCAAAACATCCCATTACTTTGCTTTGCGGCAGTATGCTGCTTTTTCGGAGTGATTGGGATCACTTTCTTGTGGGTGAGGTTCCGATATAATTATATTTGGCTCTTGGATAATCTACTTGGGTAAGTCTAGTCACTGTTTAAGACCTATCATTACCTAACAGAACATAGCCCAAGTTTAGCGAACTCAGTTAGCGGACTTATGACGTCTCTTGTGGGAGTTTATGCGTCACATCGCGGGGAATGGTCCATAACAGCTATAGTCACGATTTCTGTCGTGGCCTCGACTTTTTCATGCATGTCTACCGCGTTCCTGACATATCGGTTGCTGCTAAAGCGTGGGACAGCTTTACTTACACAGGGGTAAATTCTTCGAAGTGTTGGGCCAAAAATGTAAAGCTCCGAGGGAACTTCAAAAGAGCATATCTAGCACCACTGGAAAGGAAAAAGAAAGAAGGCCGAAAACCCTAAAAATCCCAAAAAGAAAGAGAAATAGAAATGAAAACTGGTCCCTGTCTCCCTTTGGACACCTGAGGGCCCACGTCCCAGTTCTCTATTTCTAACTGAGCTGGAGCACTCAAGTAAACCAATCAGGAACTTTCCACCATCCCTTTGAGGCATCCGGTTGCTGACTAAAGGCATCTAGCATCCGACGGCTGACGGCTGATCAAGGGAGTGTACCACCGGACAGAAGAGTTGGTGGTGTCCGCAGAGAGGCTGTGAAATGCCGCATAGACTGCGGTTCCCTTGCTCAGGTCACGCATAACCATAGCATCCTCAGGGTGAACAAGAAATCGGCTACTGAACCTGTCGACATTCCAGTAGTGCGAATACCAGCTCGCCCACTCTCCAAGATGTACACCAAGGCTTTTCCACGTTGTAAGGGCCATGACCCGACCAATACCTTGCGAAACCACTGTGCTCGCAGCGGCACAACTTCAAGGTACCCGCGGAGCACACAAGAGTCCCGGGAGTCTCAAGGGAGCTGCTGATGCAACACACGGTTGCGTTTCAAGTATGAAGGTTGTTCCTGCCAACCTCTTTACTACCCAACTAAGGCATCTAGGGAGGCATATGAGGGTGTCCCAGCCAGCCCCTGTGCCAGCAAACCAAGACAGAAACCAAGACAGAAACCAAGACAGAAACCAAGACAGAAACCAAGACAGAAACCAAGACAGAAACCAAGACAGAAACCAAAACAGAAGATCAAAACAAAACACCAAGACAAACACCTAATCAACCCAACCTCATCACCTACCTCCCGATCCAGCCGAGAGTCGCCTGCCACCTCTTATGAAGCCGGGGTGAGATAGATCTCTTCCTTCGTCTTGCCCGACTTGGACGAAACCGTCTTGACGACGAAAAACTTCTTCTTGGAATCAGAGTAGTGCAGCTGATACTCCTTCTCGGGGTCGCTCTGGGACACCTTCTTGATGTAATAGCCGCCGTTGGTCTTGTAGTTGACCTGATGGAGCTGCCCTTGTCACCCAGCTTGACCTTTGATGGCGGTACCGGCGTCTTTTGGGCCGGCGCCGAGCCCTGACTGGCCGCGGGGGGCTGCTGTGTGTCGTACGCAGTGGTACGCGGCTGCGCGGATGCGGAGGAATAGTCGCCGCCGCCGCCGCGGCTTCCGGGGCGGGTGGTGTATTCGCCGCTGCCGCCGCTGCCGCCGCTGCCGGAAGAGGAAGGCCTCTGCGCTGCTTCGTAGGCGGTGAGTTCGTTATAGTCGTCAATGTTTGCGATGCGCCGCTTGCCCTTATAGAGACCCCTGGCAATGGCGTACAGCGCAGCCGCCCTCTTGGACTTGTGATCCTTGCTTGTTGAGGGTTCTGGGGGGAGGCGAAGGCGTTCCCCTGCGAGTCGAAGCAAAAGTACCGACCGTCCGGAGTGCCGTATGCATTCACAATGACACGCTCGAGGACGAGGATGGACTTGCCTTTCTCCTTAGGGTCCGGCCTGGGGACCTGGCCGATGTATACCGGATGGCCCTCTTCATCCGTCTCCCCCTTGCCAACGCGATGGATGGCCGCCAAGACGTTACGAGGGGACAGCTTCGGCCTCGCTGAGCCCATGCTGAGCTGGCCCATCTGCTGGCAGAGGTCGTACGAGTAATAATCGCCGCTGTGGTTCGAGTGTGTTGTGTTGTGGCCGCCGCCGATATTGCCCTGGCCGAACTGAGCACCGCCAGAACCTCCCTGAAAAGGCGCTGGGTATCCTGAGTAGCCACCCTGCCCGCCCTGCCCAGGGGGCGCCTGCCCGGGCCCGCCCTGCCCGCGGCCCGCGCCGGCGCCAGAACCGCCGGCCGCTTGGTTCGCTTTGGCGGCTTCCTGGGCCTCTTGATGGAGCTTTGTTGGTGTGCAGTACTCCACTCCCACAAGGTCCAGGACCTCTATGCACGGGGGAATCTTGGGGTTCTGCGAATCGGGGTTCTGCGAATCATGGCCATTGCAGGGCTGTTGCAGCCCATCCCTCCGATACATTGGGTTCTTGTAGCTTCGGATGCCCCAAATAGCAGCCCGCATTTTGCCCAGCGGCGCCTTGGTCGCTGGGTCAATTTGAATGTGCCCGCCCGAGGTCGTGGGACCAAAAGATATCTTTTCGGGGCTGTTGTCGGGGAGGTTCCTGTTGTATCGCTCGAACCCGTACCAGCACACATTTTCGCAGTGAATGCGGTTTGGCGGGGCATCGCCGATGGCGTGCCACCACACGGGTGCCCGCGCTGACGCGGTCTTCCTGAGCGCCATCTCCTCGGCTCTCTTCCCCCTGCCAATCGTTCCAAAATAAATGACACCCCCGCCAGGCCGCCGGACATGGAGCGCCATTACTAGACATGCCATGTCCTTCAGCTGTGGGTTGGTTGTGACGAAACCGTTGAACCCTTCGTGGTTGACGAGCCAGTTGAAGGCTCCCCTGGCTTCCTCCTGGAGCACCGCCCATGGAATGTGCGTGGCGTACTTGCCGTTGAACACTTTTCTCAGAACCCATACTGAGTTGTCTTTCGTGTCCACGTCGTCGTGACGTATCCGGATCAGCGGGATCTCATAGTCCTCCTCCATGTCGATCAACGAGCTTGGTGGCGGGCGCTTTGATAGAGGCAGGAGGTATGCGAGTTGCACTTGTCCAGCAAGTGCTCACAAACGGCGAGTGCGTTCAAGGTGGCGTGAAGGAGAGGAGAGGAGAGGAGAGGAGAGGATGCGATATCAAGCGAATAACGAGGTGAACTCCGTCGTCAATGTCTCGGCCTGCGAGAAGAAGAAGAAGAAGAAGAAGTGGCAGGATGAGAGAGAACGATGTGCTGGTGTAGAACATGGTGGATGAGACGGCAGAATGAGCCGGCTTTATAACTTAGTCTGTCCTCCAACACCACGAAATGGGCCTCGCTACTTCGTACCTGGTACGCTGCCAGTAGATAGGTAGCCTCCTGTTCCCGGCCCGGGCCAACACTTGTCTGCCCTGGATCGTCTCAAACTAAGATGGGGACGGTCTCGGCCTTGAGCTAGGGGAGCCACGGGCTATAGGTACTTGAAGTTTCTCATACCACCGGACGGAGAGAGGGACTCTGACGGTCCGGGCTTCTGATGGTGCATGTTGTTGGATGCGGTGCCTGATAAGCCGCGCGTGGGTCGTTGAAGAGCCGTATCGTCAGAACCGCCCTGTCGGATACGTGCAGGCTCACACCGTTGCAGGTGGTGTTGCCCACAAGCACAAGGCGAGTGGGCTGGGCTGGCATCGCCAGAGGCTGGAGTGGCGGGGAGGCCCATGCTGGTGCAATGGTGCGGCTTGAGCAACCGAGTGAGTGGACCAAGCCCGTCACAGATGTGACTCTGGGCCGTTGGCCGCAAAGGCGTGGGCGCGGCACCGTGGCCCGGCGGTGGCCCTGGTCTCGGCCGGCGCGGCGTCGCCCCAAGGCTGAAGCGGTCGCTTGAGGGCCAGTCAAGATGGTCGAGAACCAGTGGCGCCAACAAACAAAAGGGCAACACTCCCTTATGTAATAGCTAGATCCCATCTTGTGCAGGCGCCTTCGCCGCCTCTCAGCGACTGGAGTGCCCGGTGATCAGATGGCGATCGGGACATCAGATGGCGATCGGGACATCAGATGGCGATCGGGACATCAGACCGAGACGGGCTTCTGGTGGATTGTCCTCTGCTGCGACGTAGTCAAGGTACGGACCAATTATCCCGGGGGCAAACTTCCTAAGCGTCTGGGAATCGGGAGATAATAATAAGAGAAAACGTACCTTTATTTCTTCTTCCCACGGAGTGACCGAGGCGATGGAACCTGGAATGCAGCTGGCCCACGCCAACCCCAGCTTCTGAACGGTTTCTAAACGCGCGCCGGAAACCAGCTTTTTCCAGTCCGTTCTGGTGCATCGCACACCCTCGCCCAGCCGACCCGACAGCAGCCCCAAGCGACCTGGATCCACTTACGAACCTCGAATTTTTCAACCAGCCAACAAACAACGGCACCTTCACCACCTGCGCCGTCGGTGCCGCAATTCTTTTGGCGACACACAGCCACGCCTCCTCCGAAACTGCCGTGTCTACCTACCTACCAGGTAAGTAAGCAACCAAACCACCCCTCCCCCAAAAATGGTGGATTCGCCGGTGCCTCCTCTTCTGCGCCTGCCCCCTTCAGTTCGACACCGCATCTATCTCTATCTCGGCGTGGCCCGTTGGGACCGTTTCCCGCTGGTGTTCGACCTCGACGGCTCCCTCGACCCGTCCAAACAGATTGCCTTTCATGGCCTGTTGCTATCATGCCGATCCCTCTACATCGAGGCCTCGGCCTTAATGTTCTCCGCCAACCG